CACACAGCATCATGGATGTATGCCGGGTCCAAGCAAGAACATTTGTTGGACTACATAGTGACGGAAAAGAGGATGCGGGCCCATGTCCTAAACACCAGGACCTACAGTGGAGCTGATCTGCCCACTGACCATCGACTTGTCATCTGTAAGATGTGCCTGCCATTTTTCCACTCGGGTGGTGGGTGTACACCCAGGACCCCATTCAAACCCTTAGTGGCATGGTCTCAGCTAGCTGATGAAAGTTGCAAGCAAAAAAATAATCATCGCTTGCGGCTGGGGTTGGCATCGTCCCCCACTTCTCCTGATGTCGAGGGGAAATGGCGAGGTTTAGGACTGTGGCTCATGCAGCTGCAATGGCTGCTTTGGATACACGGTCCAGACCTCCTCAGAGACCCTGGCTGACAGAGGAGGTGTTCAAGCTGGCTGAGAAAAAGCGACAGGCCCATTCTCATCGGCTACAGCATCCCACGTCGGAGAATGAGGAGGCTTACCGCAGCCTTCGCTCGGAGGTTCGGAGAGCCGTGAGGCGCTGCAAGAATGGGTGGTGGTCGCAGGTTGCTGAGGAGATGTAGTCTGCCTCAGTGGCCCGCGATCACAAATCACTCTTTAATTCGATCAAAAAAGTAACCTGCAGCGCCAGACCTATTATCATCCAATCTCCGACCCCCAGGAACAGGTTTGCAGATTTGCTGAGCATTTCTGTGAGGTCCTGGGGGAGGGGAAATCCCTCAGCCTGGAAAACGTGGGACAAAGTGGGGATGACCCTGCCGAGGCTGCGGTGCCTCAAATATTGGAAGAAGTCACCCCCTGTGAGTGGCTGGCTGAGGTGCCATCTGTTGAGGAAGTACTGAAGGCGATCCAGAGCCTGAGACCAGGAAAGGCACCGGGCAGAGATGATCTCCCAAGCGAAATGCTGTGTGAAGGTGGCGTTTGTGCACAGATGCCCTACATGACATCATAACAACAGTCTGGACCACTGGACGGGTTCCGCAGGATTGGAAGGATGCCCTTGTGGTCCCCCTCTTTCAGGGGCATCTCACTCCTCAATGTGCCGGGACAGGTCCTGGCAAGGATTATTCAACATCGCCTTGCCAGGCATGCTGAGGAGAGGCTTGCGGAGCCCCAATGCGGTTTCAGGAAAGAGCGGTCCTGCACAGATGTCATATTTTCTGTCTGTCTGCTACAGCAGAGGTGTAGGGAATTCCAACAAGACCTACATCTCTGCTTTATTGACCTGGTCAAGGCCTATGATACCATCAGTAGGCCTGGGCTCTGGGTTGTTCTTCGTGCTTTCGGAGTCCCTGACCTTCTGCTCACAATCATTAAGGACCTTCATGATGGTGAGTGGGCCCGGTACACCTTGGGGTGCGACACCCGACCCCCTCGCGTGCCCTGCGTTTCTGGCCGGCCTTCATAGGTGCTGCTACTCGCTAACAGCACTTGCCCCAACAGTCTGTTAGAGGCTACACGGGGGATCTTTGTCTATATTTTTGCTCATGTGCATGCGGGAGCGAGCGGCTCAGCAGCAGCATCGGCAGCAAAGGCAAATAAATAAATAAATAAAATCTCGGAGCAATCTGATTTGTCATCCACTTAGGAAACGGCCGGAGAGATAAGACGCCGCTGTCGAGTGTTATATCTTCTCGCGTGTTGGGCTCGCATCTTGCTCGCTCTCTCTCTCTCTGTGCTTCATTTCGTCTTGTGTGGCCGGGGTGGTGGGATATTATTATTATGGATGTATGCGCGCCTGGTGTGTGTGTGTGAGTGTGATGTGGTGTGTGTGTGAGTGTGATGTGGTGTGTTGGTGTGTGTGAGTGTGATGTGGTGTGTTGGTGTGTGTGATGTGGTGTGTTGGTGTGTGTGAGTGTGATGTGGTGTGTGTGAGTGTGATGTGGTGTGTTGGTGTGTGTGAGTGTGATGTGGTGTGTGTGAGTGTGATGTGGTGTGTTGGTGTGTGTGGGTGTGATGTGATGTTGGTGTGTGTGAGTGTGATGTGGGGTGTGTGAGTGTGATGTGGTGTGTTAGTGTGTGTGAGTGTGATGTGGTGAGTGTGATGTGGTGTGTTGGTGTGTGTGATGTGATGTTGGTGTGTGTGAGTGTGATGTGGTGTGTTGGTGTGTGAGTGTGATGTGATGTTGGTGTGTGTGAGTGTGATATGGTGTCTTGGTGTGTGTGAGTGTAGTTCTTGAGTGGCTTGTGTATTTGTGCAGTGGTGCAGCAGTTAGCGCTCCATTGCACTACGAACCCGGCACCCGAATTCTATTCCCGCTCACGGACAACACCGGTGACGATTTTCTGAACCGGTCCTGGGCCTCCCCTAGGTCAACTCAGCCTCAAATGAGTGCCTGGTGCGATGTGTAGTAAACATCGCCACTGGGGAGACAAAGGCGGTCGGGCGTGGTGCTGGCCACCCACCCCCTTGTGTACCGTGCCGGCCTTCATAGGTGCTACCCGCTATCAGCACTTGCCCCAACAGTCTTGGTACAGGCTACACGGGGGGTCTTTGTCTTTGTCTCCTTCATAGGCGCTGCTGCTACTCGCTAACAGCACTTGCCCCGACAGTCTGCTAGAGGCTACGCGGGGGGTCTTTGTCTTTGGCGATAGTGGTAGTGGAGCGGTAGCGTAGCGGTTAGCGCGCCGCGCCACGCCAGGAAACCCGGCGGCGAGCCCGACTTCGATTCCCGGCTCACGGCCAACGCCAACCACGCCGGTGACGATAATCTGAACCGGTCCTCGGGGCCTCCCTGGCCCCGGCGGTCCGCTGACCCTTGAACGATTCAGCGGCGCGTGAAAGACATCGCACGCCGCTCCACCACGAGCGGCCGATGGCAGAGCGACGACACCGCGGCTTCGCGCGTCCGGGCGGCCAAGCCCGGGCAGCCGCGTCGGGAGCACAGTCGCTCGCTACCGCTGGAGAGTTTCGGAGACGAAAAAAAATGTCCCCACTTGTGCATCGGGGTGGTGAAATCCGCATCTGTTGCGCTCGCCCCAACAGTCTGTTGAGGCTGCACGGTGGGGGGCGGCGGGGGGGATCTTAGCATGTGTTTTTTTACGCCCGCCCGCCTGCCCACCCGCGCCGGATTTCACATCATTAACTCCGCTGCAGGCCCGGCCGCTCATCCCCTTCATTTTGTTTCGTCCTTGAGAAGAAGAAAAAATATATAGAGAGAATAAATAAATAAATTGTTATTATTTTATCCCAGAGGTCACTTCTGGCCGGCCACGGTCAGCAACGTTCCGTGTTGTTGTCCACGGTGGCTAGGAGATGCCTGCTGCTGTATATTTGGATTTTGCGTGTCTCTCTCTCTCTCATCATGGTGAGATGTTAACTCTCTTGCCCGGTATACAAGAGGTCATGGGTCCGATCCTGACCCTGACACCTGCTGTATATGTGGAGTTAGGGTGTGTTTCTCTCCCCGTGGTGAGACGTTAACTACTTCGCCTGGTATTAGAAAGTCGTTGGTTCCATCCCGACCCTGTGATGCCTGCTGCTGTAAATTTGGAATTTGTGTCTCTTTCTCTCCCGTGGTCCCGTGGATTTTTCTCCGAATCAACGTCACGGCGTTCAGAGTACGTCAGCCCATCGTTTATTTTCTCCGTGTGAAATTTTTTTGAAATCAATCAATTGTTTTATTTCACCCGGTAAAAAGGCCCCCTGCTGAGCTCTTTTTTTTTTTTAGAAGCGTGGCCTTTTGTGTTTACCGGCACAGTGGCGGGTCAAATGACTGCTGAACGGGTGACGTTGATTGGAGCGGCGGAGGACCAGGACTAGTTCAAGATAATGGCATTCGGCCCATCGCCGCCGGTGTCCGTAGCGTGCCGCTCGCTAATCGCTGTGCCACCGCTCCCTGCAACAAATTCCGCCCCCCCTCCCCCACTCACCCCAAGCTCAGTGATGTCGATGAGAGAGAAGACACAAACCCCACCCCTGCTCCCTCCAGAGACCCAATTAAACAAAGCTTAGAAGAATCTCTCATTAAACAATCGGGTCCCTTTCCCAATCGTGCGATGTTGATTTGCCTCCCGGCCAAGCTTGCTTGTACGCATGTACGTGTGTACGTACGTTGAACTTCTTTCGCACCCTACGTAGCCACCCGTGCTAATACATATTTGCGTTGAACTTCTTTCGCACCGTACGTAGCCGACCATGCTAATACGTACGTATGCACGCTAAAACTCCTTTCGCGCCGTGCGTAGCAAACCGCGCTAATTGGACGATGATTAGCCGACGGTGCTCTCTTGCACCGTCGCTCTTCTGCTTAACCCAGGGGCTCGGCAAACATAAAATAACAAGGCGAGCCATTTTAGTTTTCGAATTCGATATTTCAAGAGCCGGCGACGCGCGTGGTGCATACGAGACGGCGGTCCTCGATAAATAAATGCACGAAGAAGTTCCGCAAAGAGCCCGGCAGGTTTGCCGACCCCCCTGGCCCAACCACTCCGTCTGTCCATCCCGTGTTCACGCTCAGACTGACGTCTGTTTTATTATTATTATTTTTTCAACCTGGCCGTCACAAGTGATAGCCCAACGAGAAGTGGCTTATCATCATCGTGTGGACATTTATAGCTGCCAAATACTCTTGAGCGCCCATCGATTTCAAATGTGGAGGGAATAAAACCACACGACCGCGGGGAAAGAGAGAGGCACTAACTCCAAATATACAACAGCAGCAGCAGGCGTCACAGGGTCGGGGTGGAACCCACGACATCCTGTATACCAGGCGAGGTAGTTAACATCTCCTAGCCACCGTGATGATGATGATGATGATGAGAAAGAGAGACACGCAAACTCCAAAAATACAGCAGCAGGCGTCGTCAGGGGTCAGCATCGAACACACGACTTCTGCGCACCAGGCGAGGTAGTTAACATCTCGGACACCGCTGCGCCCGCGACCTTCGCTCTCAACAACACCACTGCCCTCTCTCCGTCTTCCCTCACCCCCCCCCCCCTACCTCCCTCCCTGCCCGCACCGATGCCCACCCCCGGGTCCCCCGTACAGAGGAGCAGGTGCCCGCCGGCTTCCCGCGCATCGACATGGCACCGCAGCTCAAGGTGGTGGAGCGCACGCGCACCGTCACCATGCTGTGCGCCGCCAGCGGCAACCCGGAGCCCACGGTGACGTGGTACAAGGACTACCTGCCCCTCGACGTGGCGGCCAGCGACGGGCGCATCCGCCTGCTTCCTGCCGGTGAGGTCCTCGCGTGCCCACGCGCGACGACAACAATCCCCATCCCTCCCCCCCAACAAAGACAAAAGATTCCCCGCCACCACCCCCGTATAGCCTCAAGAGACTGTTGGGGCAAGTGGCGTTAGCGAGCAGCACGTACAAGCTCTGCAGCAACAACATCCGCTGTTCGCCGCTCAACGGCGGTGGCGTCACCGCAGCGCCCGTGCCAGGCCTACAAGCACAGACACACAGACAAACACACAGATGAACACATGGACGAACGCACACAACCACACACGAACAACAAAGACAAAGATCCCCCGTGTAGCCTGTAACAGACTGTGGGGGCAAGTGCTGTTAGTGAGCACCTATGAAGGCCGGCACGGCACACGAGGGGGTGGGTGGCCAACAAACGCCAGGCCTGCCTTTGTCTTACCCTGAGGCGATGTTTACACATCGCACCAGGTACTCATTTGAGGCTGAGTCGATCTAGGGGAAGCCCAGGGCCAGTTCTGATAATCGTTACTGGTGTTGTTGGCCGTGAGCGGAAATCGAACTCAGGCCGCCGGGTTCGCACATGCACACACGCGCATTAACTAAAAACAGGGCTATTTTTATTTTACCAGGTAAGGTCCACTGAGCTATCTAGCTCTGTTTTCAGAAGCATACTTGGCTGTCACAAATGATAGCGCAACGAAGTGGCTTGTCATCATCATCACCACGTGGAAATGTATAGCAGCCAAATACAGTAAATGCACGTTGATTAAATGTTGACTTAAAGCTTTCGTGACTGCAGGAATTCATATTCTTTGGGTCTTTCGGTAAAGTCACGTAGATAGGTTCAAAGAAAATAACAAAAAACTACGACGATTCTATTGCAACACAAGCGGTCGTCATCAGGAAAAGGGGGTTAGCTTCTAAAGGCAAACTGTTTATAAAGGTTTAAAATGGGCGGAGCCCAAATGTCAGCAGCATGGGCGGGGCAGCTAATGTTAATGTAAGTGATGGGCGGCGACCGCGGTGGTGGTTGGTTTTCCACCAATCGAAGGGCTGCCAGGTAACAATTTGCATGTTAATGTAAGATCGGTGAGCGGCCTCCACGGCGAGCGTGCTGAGGTGGCTATGTTAATGTGAGAGAATAGCATGTTAATGTAAGATCGCAGAACCACCGCCACGTCGATGTACTGTGCGTGAAGGTGGCTGTGTCAATGTGAGAAATTTTACCTGTGAATGTAAAATCCGAGAGCCGAAAATAACAACTAACATCGAAAGGTGGTAGGATGGGAACATCACAGTCAATTGTGACCTAAACTGTTGATAACGACCTTCCAATGATTGCTAAGTGTGTACCCATCTTCTCGTTTGAAATTGTGTCCGTGTCTATATATCTGGATGGCTTCATGAACTAATCTTTGTTGATAGTCAGTGGGTTTGCAAAGTACTTTCGTCTTAGATAAACCAATTTTGTGTGAGCCCACCGCATTAAAACAATGATCAGCCACGACCGAGGTATTGGTCCTACCGTGTTTCAGATCTGCCTTGTGTTCACGAACACGGTCCGAGACATGTCGCTTAGTTTCCCCAGTGTAACTACTGCCGCAGACACAGCTTAGTTTGTAGACGCCGGGGTATTGCATGTCAGGGATCACATCCTTCACAGACGGGATCAGATGACAGATTTTATGTACTGTGTTTAAATCGAACCTGGATCTTGTGTTTGCTCGTGATTTTGGAAATATTTTTGGTAACCCCTGCTATGAGAGGGGAGAGGTGCAGAGTGAGATGAGTGGGGAGAGGCAGGAGAGAGTGCGTGGAGGGGAGTAGAGTGAGATGAGAGGGGAGAGGTAGGAGAGGGTGCGTGGGGGGGGGGGGGGGCAGAGTGAGATGAGAGGGGAGAGTTAGGAGAGAGTGCGTGGAAGAGAGTAGAGTGAGATGAGATGGGAGAGGTAGGAGAGAGTGCGTGGAGGAGAGTGAGTAGAGTGAGATGAGAGGGGAGAGGTAGGAGATGGTGCGTGGGGTGGGGGGCAGAGTGAGATGAGTGGGGAGAGGCAGGAGAGAGTGCGTGGAGGGGAGTAGAGTGAGATGAGAGGGGAGAGGTAGGAGAGGGTGCGTGGGGGGGGGGGGCAGAGTGAGATGAGAGGGGGGAGGCAGGAGAGAGTGCGTGGGGGGGGGCAGAGTGAGATGAGAGGGGAGAGGCAGGAGAGGGTGCGTGGAGGGGGGCAGTGGCGATGTTTACTACACTCCACACCAGGTGCTCATTTGAGGCTGAGTCGACCTAGGGGAGGCCCAGGACCGGATCTGATCATCGTCACCGGTGGCGCCGGGTTCGTCGCGCAGCGTAGCGCTAACCGCTACCACTACCGCTCTCCACTACTACTCACCTACCTACTCACATGCACACCTACTCACACACCTACTCACATCAATACAACACACACACACAGAGAAACTCGATCCATCGATTTAAAACCTTCACCCGTTCAGAGCCCTTACAACGGCCGCGATCGATGCGGCAGAAGTAAACGCGTTACAATCAGCATCCGTTTTTTTGTTCGGGGTTGAGGGGGGGGGGCAGCGGGCGTTGAAAAAAACGACAGCGGAGTGGAGTCTACGGCGGGCAAACCCCTTGCGCCTCGCAGCAAGAAGGGCCTGGGTTTGATGCCCGCCTGGGTGAAATTTCCGGGTGCCTATTGCACGTCTGGAGTTTGGCAACGTTCTCTCATAGCTGCGGTGGCTAGGAGATGTTAACTCCCTCGCCTGGTGTACAGGAGGTCGTGGGTTCGATCCCGATCCCGTGACGCCTGCTGCTGTATGTTTGGAGTGTGCGTGTCTCGCTCTCTCTCTCATTATCATCACGGTGGCTAGGAGATGTTAACTCCCTCGCCTGGTGTACAGGAGGTCGTGGGTTCGATCCCGACCCCGTGACGCCTGCTGGTGCTGTATATTTGGAGTGTGCGTGTCTCGCTCTCTCTCCCCCGTGGTCGCGTGGATTTTTCTCCGGGGTCCTCCGGTTTTCCCCTCCACATTTAGAATCGACGTCCCCACGCGTTTAGAGTGATTCGATTCCCGCTCACGACCACCACCGCCACCGCCAGTGACGATAATCTGAACCGGTCCTGTGGCCTCCTCCCCTAGGTCAGCTCAGCCTCAAACGAGTACCTCGGTGCGGGGTGTAAAACATCGTCACTGGGTAGACAGAGGCGGGCGGGCGGGCAGGCGGACGTGATGGACGTACTTGGGCCGAACTGCGATGTCCAACCAACCAACCAAACCACCCCTCCTCCCCCTCTTCGTCTGCTGTGCCGGCCTTCATAAGGTGCTGCTGCTGCTGCTAACAGCACTCGCTGTTAACCTCCTAAAAGCTACACGGTATGGTGGTGGGGGGGGGTCTTCATCTTTGAAGATGATGGTGGTGATGATTAAGGGCAGAGAGATTTGGATGTAGGGATGTGAAGCGTACGGCGGTTGAATAACGTCGGTCGGTCGGTCGGTGAATTGCATTAAAACTCAGAAGGGGGCTGGCGACATTAAACATTAAACAAAAAACCCCTCGTGGGGTTCGTGCTTGGAGACGGAGTCAGAGGCGAGCCGAGCAGATGGAGCCGCGCAGATAGAGGAATAAAAAGGTTGCTGCTGCCGCCGCTTGCCGAACATTCGATCTGCGTCCAAACCGTCGAACACAGGGAGAGATGTACGTTAGATCGCAGGACTCGTTTTAACAGCAGGCGACACTCGTTGTGCATTCTAAGCACAGGACGGATCTGTTTAGACTGCACGATTTGCTTTAAGCGTAGGCGACACTCGTTATACAATGTGAACATACGAACGGATGCACGTTAGATCATGTGAGTTGTTATAAGCATGGGGGGGGGGGGGTGGGGGGGGGATAAGCCACACATTGCACACGCGTGTGGAACATAGGGGATGGTACATTAAACAATTCAGGACGTGTTTGAAGCATATATGACCGCTGTTTAATGCGACACACACGGGAAGGTGTAAAGTAAAACGTGGGACTTGTGTGCAAAGCAATGGGGGGGGGGGGGGGGGGGGGCGGGTGGCATACGTTGAAAAATAAAGATCTGTGCTCGACACGGGAGAGACGGGCGATTCGGCCACGGTGGAGATGGAGCGACGGAATGAGCTGTCATCTTACCTTACTTAAAATTTTCACGTAGCGCTTTAACCAAGGCATCGTCGCCACTGGGGAGACAAAGGCGGCCGGGCGGGTGTGGTGCTGGCCGCCGAGGCCCACTTGTGCGCCACCGTGCCGGCCTTCTTCAAAGGCGCTGCTACCCGCGAACGGCCTTTGCCCCCCCAACGGTCTGTTAAGGCTACACGGGGGGGACCTTTGTGCGTGCGTGGAAAGCGGTGGTGGTGGCGGTTAGCGAACCACGCTTACCAACCCGGCCACCTGAGTTCGAATCCCGCTCGCCGCGGACCAACGCCGACGTTAGTGACGGTGATCAGAAACCGGTCTTGGACCTTCTCGTCGGTCGACTCAGCCGTAAAATGATTACCTGGAGCGGCGGCGGGTTCATAAACGACATCTGCACTCGGGATACAAAGGTGGCTCGCGTGCGGCAGGGTTCCAGCCTTAGTGCGCGGTCGCTCACAACCCTTGCCCCGTCAGCCTACGTGGGCTACGCGGGGGATCTGCGTCTTTGTTTGTGTAATTATAGCAGAGAGGTTTTTTCGGGGGGTGGGGTTTAGATCGCACCACCGCAACAACATCCAATTTAGTCACGGGGTTTGTTATCCGCAACAATGACAAGCTTCATTCGCTGCGTTCCTAATTAGATTATTTTTTACAATTGCAATAATTGTTTGTAATATTTCGTCTAATTATAATAACAATTACAATTCTTGTAATTAATATTACAATATTACAATTACAATTCTTGTAATTAATATTACAGTAATTGCAATTGTAATAGTTAATTGTAATAATTAATTAATTTGGCATTCATTTCTAATTCATTCATATTCTTTGCGATTACAATTGTGATCATTACAATTGTTATTGCAATTATAATAACAATTACAATTGTAATGATTGTTATAACAATACATTTTACAATTGTAATGATTCGTATTGCAATTGTAATTATTATTAAAATTGTAATAACAATCCATTATAATTACAATTGTAATAATTGATATCATTAGGAACGCAGCGAATTAAGCTTCTGAGTTGGAAGTAATAACAATTGTGATAATTACAATTGTAATAACAATTGTTATTGTTGTTAGGTTTGCTCTCCAACACACAACCGATGTAGTGCTGTACTCGTAACGAATTGGGCCACGTTCTGTTTACGTGACACAACCCTTACTAATTGGCTGTGTCGGTTGGTGGTGGTGGTGGTCGCGGGTTTAACGGCACAACGTTCATATTCGCGATCTACACCAATAAGAAACCTCTGGTGGATAATGGTCACGAAAGCCTCCTGCTACTCCGTGTTAAAGCTGTAATATGGATGAAGATTGAAATCTTCATCCAATTATGGATGAAGATTAGATCGCGTGTATGTATAAATGTTGTGTCGTTAAAACCCGCCGCCACCCGACACAGCCAACTTAGTAAGGGTTGTGTCGCGTAAACAGAACGTGGCCAATTCGTCACGAGTACAGCACTAGTGTGTAGTGTATAGTGTAGTGTATAGTAGTGTAGTGTATTGTGTATAGTAGTGTAGTGTATAGTAGTGTGGTGTATAGTGTAGTGTACAGTAGTGTAGTGTATAGTGTAGTGTACAGTAGTGTAGTGTATAGTAGTGTAGTGTATAGTGCATTGTATAGTAGTGTAGTGTATTGTGTATAGTAGTGTAGTGTATAAAGTGGTGTATAGTAGTGTAATGTATTGTATATCGTAGTGTATTGTGTAGTGTATAGTGCATTGTATAGTAGTGTAGTGTATTGTGTATAGTAGTGTAGTGTATAGTAGTGTAGTGTACAGTAGTGTAGTGTATAATGTAGTGTACAGTAGTGTAGTGTATAGTAGTGTAGTGTATAGTGCATTGTATAGTAGTGTAGTGTATTGTGTATAGTAGTGTAGTGTATAGTGCATTGTATAGTAGTATAGTGTATTGTGTCTAGTAGTGTAGTGTGTAGTGTAGTGTATAGTAGTGTAGTGTATTGTGTATAGTAGCGTAGTGTATAGTGTAGTATACCAGTAAAGCACACCGGTGTGTTGGAGAGCCAAGCCACAACATTTACAATCTGAGTACGACGTTTCGCCAGTAATTACAACCAGCTTCATCAGGCGACGGCCAGATTTGTGGAGAAGTCCGCCTGTTTCGTTCCTTAAATAGAGGCGTAGATCTGGTGACCACACTTCTTGGTCGCGAAAGGCTACGTGTTAAACTGACATCTTCATACTTGATAATTCGCACTCATTCCGATGAAAGTTTAAACTTTGTTGTAGTTGCTAAAACGGTTAGCGGCCGTGCGAACAGATTAAAAAAAATACGTCAAAATTAAGGTGCCCTGCAAACGAAAACGTAACAGTGGCAGCGACGAATCCAATTGAAATATCCCGCGGAATTAACACAAATTAGGAACACAGCGAATGAAGCTTTTGAGATGAAAGTGAGAGACAAATTATAGCGGCGCTGTCCCCACGGCAGTCAGAGCGCAAACAAATATTGGTTTAGAATTTTTTGTTGCATCCCCCTTATTTAATTTTTGTTCAAAGTTTGCTCTACTCATTTCAATTAAAGTCAGGGTAATTTATGGATTTCGAATAAGTTCACGTTGAATATTAACAAGGGAAACAACCCCCCCTCCCTCCCTCCCTACGCCCGTTGCATGCGTATTGTTGTGCTAATCCACTGTGCTGAGCTATCATTATTTGTGATACCCAGGGTCGCTTTTGTAACAATAATTTCAATACCTCAATGGGGCTTTGCCTGGTAGGGTGGGGATGGCTTAGTGTTGTTTGTGTTTGGGCGATTTGTTGTTGTAACGTTCTTAACCAGTGCCCCCGACTGGACATGTGTGAAAAAGAGCTTTATAGCTCATAGGATTCCTCCTGCAGTAGAACAACAGTGTTCTGATTCTGTTCACTCGCGTTCCGCTTTACTCCGTGGAGTCACGGTGGAATTGTTGACAATCACCCCGTGACCCATGTTCAATTCCTGGTCACACTCATCAATCATCGCCAGCCATGATTAATCCACGATGGCTAGGAGATGTTAACTTCCTCGCGTGGTATACAGGAGGACGTGAGTTCGATTCCGACCCTGACAATGCCTGCTGCTGCTGTATATTTGGTGTTTGCGGTGTCTCTCTCTCCACGTTTAGAATCGACGTCACTACGCGTTGAGTCTTTGGCTGCTGCTATAAATGTCCACGCGATGTTGATGATGATGATGAGCCCATTTTCGTTGAGCTATCATGTGTGATAGCCAGGTACACTTCTGAAAAACAGCCATAGAGCTCAGTGGGGCCCTTACCTGGTATAATAAATAAAAAAAATGTTCTACTGTATACACAGGGTAGTCCCCGACTTACGATGGAGATGCGTTACGACGACCCCATCGTAAATCGAAAATATCGTAAGTCGAAGATGGCCTAGCCTACCCAGGAGTCTTAAAGAATGGTGATAATTTAGCAAAACAGAGCAATTTACAGTACCGTACTGTGTAAACTGTATACTGTATGTATTTATTAATTACAATACTGTATTGCACAGTAAAATGTAAAGTAAAAAAAAACAAGGTAAATTCTTAGCCTACCTATATGAACTGCAATTTCATAGAAAGTTTTTTTCAGGAAACAATCCTATCTGCTATAAAAAAAAAAACTTTTAACATGCATTGAACGTATGTATCGTATCGTGGTAACCCTAAAATGAAATCGCTAAAGCTACGTATCATAACATGCATTGAACGTATCGTAACGTATCACATTCTACTGCACTCACCAAGATTCTGTCCGTCGTCTGCATACTTGAACGATGCTAGGTTGTTGATGGCTACATTAACTTAGTTGTCGGAAGAGGAGGATGGCGATGATCAAGTTACAGTATCGTACCTCGTAGTACGCTGCTGCGTTTGCCTGCCGCGCGAAATTAAAACATGTTTGACAATGTTGTCGTATCGCTATCGCCATCGTAAGATCGAAATATCGTAGGTCGGACCATCGTAAGTCGGGGACTACCTTTACTTAGTTTAGAGTCTTCCTCCTCCGAGCGATTCCTGCCACGCGATGTCTGTCGCACGTGGCCTCCGTAGGCAAAACAGAATGTGTGAACCCCGGGGGCCTGGCACCACACTCGCAGGTCAACTCGACCTAACCCAGCCCTCCCTCCCCTCGAGAAGGTCATCTCAACCCCAAAATGTCGACCTGCCGTGGACACCTTGAACGCCGGCAATCCGCGGAAAAACAACGGAAGCCGGACAACGCGTCGTGTGAGAATCTGTTTGTTTTTTCCGGAAGGAATCCGATGAGATAAGAAGCTCAATTTTTTTCTTACTTTACAACAGATCTTCCGTTAAAAAGCGTGGTCCGGTGTGTCCACCACCCCCCCCCCCCCTTAATAGGTGTGCATTGGCAGCACTTGCCCCAACAGTCTATTAAGGCTGTATGGGGGGGGGGGATCTTTCTCTTTGTGAGTTTGTGTACACCGCTCGTGAACAGCACTTGCCCCAACAGCCTACTGAAGGCTATAACGGGGGCATCTTTGTCTTTGTGAGTTTGTGTACACTGCTCGTGAACAGCACTTGCCCCAACAGCCTACTGAAGGCTATAACGGGGGGAACTTTGTCTCTTTGTCTCGTCTGTGCTACCTGTTTGTGTCTTTGTGTACGCGTCGCGAGAGCTGGCGGTGGTGAGCGCACTGCACTATGAACCCGGCGACCCGAGTTCGATTCCCAATATCAGTGACGATTATCTGAACCGGCCCTGGGCCTCCCCTAGGTCGACTCAGCCTCAAATGAGTAGCTGGTGCGGTGTGTGGTAAACATCGCCAACTTGGGAGACAAAGGCGGCCGGGCGTGGTGCTCGCCACCCACCCCCTCGTGTGCCACAGTGCCGGCCTTCATAGGCAGCGCTGCTACTTGGCAAACAGCGCTTGGACCCCCCCCACTCACCTGTCTGTCATTGTGTGTGCAGGTGGACTGCAGATCGAGAAGAGCCGTGACCTGGACCAGGGCAAGTACGAATGCGTGGCCTCCAATAGCCTGGGCACCGTTTACTCAACGCCGGCCAACCTGTATGTCAGAGGTAAGGCAGTCGCGAACGCACCCACGCACGCACCCACACACCCACACACACACGCACCCACTCACGCACGCACCCACTCACGCACGCGTGTGTGCGGGACACGGCGGGGGAGTATGCGTGAGCGGGGGGGGGGGGCACGCACGCACGCACCCACGCACACAAAACAACAACAACAAGCACAAGCGCCATTCGCCACCGGTTGGCGTCACCGCGGCGCCTGTGCCAGGCTGAGGTGCACTTTGAACGCCCGCTGGCAGGAGGTCACGGGGCAGACCCGGGTGCCGCCACGGGGTTGACCGACTGAGATGACTGGGAAGATGCACGCAGGTGTGCCGACCCCCCACTGCACACACACACGCACACACGCACACACACGCACGCACGCACACACACACGCACACACACGCACACACACGCACGCACGCAAGGGCACAGACACGCGGACCCAGTGCGCGCGGCGGCCACCCTTGGTGACGCACGTGGTGTCCGTGCCGCAAGCCGCGACAGCCGTCTTGTGTCGTGGACGCGTAGCCCCGCCCAGTCTCCGTGCTTTTTTTTTGTGTGTGTTGCGTGTCTTACCCAGGAGGGCGATGCCCCGGCTTAACCCCGGGGGACGTTTTTGGCACTTTTTTTAGCACTTTTGTTCGTTCATTTATTTTCACGCGCTAACGGAATTTTGTCACGAGCGCCCCCCCCCACCCCCCCCCCCCCCCACCCCGGATTCAGCGTGAAAGCCACACGCGTGAATGATGAGCAAATAAATGCGCCCGGCAAAACGACGCTTGACGATGAGGATCTGGCCCGCAAGGTTCCGCGCGTGTAGGACGACCTTGGGGGGGGGGGGGGGTGGGTGGGGGGGGGTGGAGAATAACAATATAACGTGCAGCATTTTTTTTCATATTCTTTGGTTCTTTCGGTAAGGTCACGCAAATAGAAAATAATTAAATAAAAAACGGCTTTAACAGATGATAAAAACCCAAAAAAACTCACGACGTTTCCATCGCAACACAAGCGGTCGTCATCAGCCAGAGAGGGAAAAAAATCGCGGTTAGACGCCGCAAGAGGGCTTTTAACCGGGTCAAACGACGTACGTCCGTTGAACTTCTGTCGCACCGTACGTAGCCAACCGTGCCAATCGGAGGTGCACGGGCGGGCGTGGAGGGCGGGCGTAAAGACGACAGAAGTAATAGGTTGGACCGAAGCCTGAAGAATCGCGCTCCCGTGCTACAGAGCACCCGGCAGAGGCTCAGAATCGGAATCTTTGTTTATCCTGGAGGTAGGAGGAATCCGATGGGGATATTTTTTTTTGCACAGATAGGGTCGCGGGGTCAGCGAGCTACATCTACACTCACCGCACACACCTAGCTCACCTACTCAAACAAAAGACAAAGATCCCCCGTATAGCCTTAACAGACTGTTGGGGGCAAGTGCTGTTAGTGAGCGCCCACCCACCCTTAACCCACTGCCCCCACCCACCGCACCCACCCACCCATCGCACGCACCCAACTCACCCACCCAACCCACCCACCGCACCCACCCACCCAACCCACCCACCACACCCACCCAACCCACCCACCCACCGCACCCACCCACCGCACCCACCCAGCTCACCCACCCAACCCACCCACCCACCGCACCCACCCAACCCACCGCACCCACCCACCCACCGCACCCACCCAGCTTACCCACCCAACCTACCCACCCAACCCAACCCACCCAACCCACCCACCCACCCACCGCACCCACCCAACCACCCACCCACCCAACCCACCCACCGCACCCACTCAACCCACCCACCCACCCACCGCACCCACCCAACCACCCACCCAACCCACCCACCGCACCCACCCACCCACCCAACCCACCCACCCACCCAACCCACCCACCCAACCCACCCACCCAACCCACCCAACCCACCGCACCCACCCACCCACCCAACCCACCCACCCACCGCACCCACCCAACCCACCTACCCACCGCACCCACCCAACTCACCCACCCAACCCACCCACCGCACCCACCCAACCCACGCACCCACCGCACCCACCCAACCCACCCACCCACCCACCGCACCCACCCAACCCACCCAACCCACCTACCCAACCCACCCACCCAACCCACCCACCCAACCCACCCAACCCACCGCACCCACCCACCGACGGCGGCTTGATCGACCCGCACACACCCCAAGACTGGCACGGGGCGTTCACGTCCGCGGCACGGGGGATTATTATAACCGGTGTCTCGTCAGACGCATCCAGAGTGGTGGCGAGGGAGGCCGCTGGTGGGTTTTGGTTGGGACAGGTTGAGAGTTGGAGGTGAGAAGACACCGCCTGTAGACACCACCACGACGACGACGGCGGTGATGATGATGATGATGAGCCCCCCCCCCCCCTACCGCCCCCTCCCTCCACCACCTCCTTTACATCCCCCGACCCCCGTGTCTCGACCCCGCTCCCCACCACCGCCACCGCCGGCTAGCTCAACGTGCCGCCACCGCCGCTCGGTCCCCGGCCGGTGCGTCGCACCGGCGACTTCTCGGCGTGGCTTCGTCGTTTACGAGCCGGCACCTCGTTGGCACGGTCACCCCCCCCCCCCACGCCCCCCCACGCCCCCCCCCCCACAGTAATATTTGTTGGTAATATAAAACGGAAACAGCTGCCACCTCTCGCCGTTTCACATCCTTCGGTGTTGCTTTAAAGCCGTCGGCGGTGGTGGGGTGGGGGGGGGGAGGAGGCGCGTCGTGTGGGCACATTCGTTGGTGGTGTTTGTGGCGGTGGTGGTGCAGGAGAGAGGAGGGCACGGTGAGTGGCCCGCGGCATGGTGAACCGAACGGAGCCGTGGAACATTTCTTGCGCCCGCTCCCTTCCACGTCCCACGCGCCCCCCCCTCCCCACCCCCCACCATCACAGCCACGTCGGGTGGTGGTGGTGGTGGTGGGGGGGCCGAGGGGGGGAGGGGGGGCTGGTACGGTGGCAATTTAAAAGTGAACGGCGCGCCACCAATCGTCGCGATACGACGCCGTCCGTGCCACCCCTCCCTCCCCGCCCCCCCCGCCCGATCCGCCCCCCACCCCCCCGCGCATGAATCAACGTCCGTGCCGTCCGTCTAATCGTGGCTTTGGCCGTGCGAGTCTTGGTGGGGCGTGCGCGAGCGTGCGTGCGTGTGCGTGTGTGTGTCGTGTGTGTGTGTGTGTACGTGTGCGAGTGTGTGTGTGTACGTGTGTGTGTGTACGTGCGTGTGTGTGTGTACGTGCGTGTGTGTGTGTACGTGCGTGTGTGTGTGTGTGTACGTGTGCGAGTGTGTGTGTGTACGTGTGTGTGTGTACGTGCGTGTGTGTGTGTGCGTGTGTGTGTACGTGCGTGCGTGGGTGTCACGTGTCCGCTTTCCCGTTGTGTGCGCAGCACGCCGCGGCCCCGCCACTCTCTACTGCCGTCTTCTCCGTCACGCGGCCACCGGCTTTTAGTTCCGTCGTGGGCTCTCTCTTGCCTCCTCGCGCGACGCTCTCAGATGATGATGATCATGATGATGATGGCGATGATGATGATGGCGATGATGATGATGATGACGATGATGGCGATGATGATGATGATGGCGTCGATTGCTTTGCCGTGAGCTGCCGTGGATACCCGGGCTGTTTTTACTCTCTGGTTCTGTTTTGTTGTTTTGGTTCTGTTTTGTTCCGTTTTGTTGTTGTTGTTTATTTTCCCCTTTTCTTGCGTTGTTCTCCGTTGGGTTTGTTTCCTTTCTGTGCTCTTTGCTTTCGTTGATTATCCTTGGTGTTCTTGAATGTGCCGCGTGTGTGTGTGTGCGCGTGCGCGCGTGCGTTTATTCCTCGGTTACTGTGTTCTGTGGGGTGTGATTCTCCGTTCTCTTCTACGAAACTCTCACGCAGAGCTACGACCAGGTTGGTGTTCACCCTCCTAAAAAAAATTCTATATTTCTCTTCCTTCCTACTCCACGGTTTTAGTTTTTTTTGTTCTCGTTGTACGGCCTCTCCTCCCACTCTCTAAGTGTTATTTTTGAATCTCAACAAACAAACAACAAGAAAAACTCACAAACATTTTTACTTACGCCCTTCCTCTTTCGCCCCACCAAAAAACACCACCACCACCACCACTGTCTTACCACTTTTCCCGCCCTCCAAGCCACAGCAACCAAAATTTTGTTTTTTTAAAACTTTTTTTCTCAAAGTTCATTAAAGGAGAAACACCCCGTTTTTTGTGTTTTTTAGTGGCGTTAACGACTTTTCAGAAGCGTTAATTTTCTCTCTTTTTTTTCCACGTAAAGAGAGAGTTGGGAGAAAAAAAAAATTTGATTTACTTTTGCTAATCAAGACTGTCGAGTACATTAGACACGCTCGGGAAACTCGTAATTGGGACACTTGTCACCTGGCCGCCTGTGACGAACCGAGTCCGCGCTTCCCTTTGACTCGTGCCTACTTATTTATTTTATGTGCGCGCACCAGTGTGCGCGTGCGTGTATGTATATACAAGTGCGGAGGAGCGGTGGCGTGGCGGTTAGCGCGCTGCGCCGCGCTACGAACCCCCGGCTACGACCCGAGGTCGATTCCCGCTCACGGCCAACACCACCGGTGACGATTATCTGAACCGGTCCTGGGCCTCCTCCTCTAGGTCGACTCGGCCTCAAACGAGCAGCTGGTGCGGTGTGTGGTAAACATCGCCAACTTGGGAGACAAAGGCGGCCGGGCGTGGTGCTGGCCGCCCACCCCCTCGTGTGTGCCGCCGTGCCGGCCTTCGTAGGTGCTGCTACTCGCCAACTAGCAGCACGCGGGTGGACCTTTGCCTTTCGTTGAGTGCGCGCGTGTCCGCGCGTGCGTATTTTTATATATATATTTTTTTTTACGCGGGAGAGGTCGTTAGCGATAATTAGACCTATGCAGGTCGATGCGCTTCACCACGTCCAATAATGAGAGCCTTCGGAACGCTCCTCTTTACGCGGCCCCTAATTGGGTAGTTTGGTGCTTCACGGCCGCCTCCGTTGCCAATTCCAAAGCGGCGCGCTACGCGGGCGGCATCAGAACCGACAAAAACCGTGCGTGCACACCGTGTGTACACACGGTGTGCACGTGCGTACCCACGTGCGACACGTACATTGTGCACGCACGCTACACGTGTATGTATCGTACGTACGTGTGTGCTTGTGCGTAGGCGTACGTACACGTACGTATGTGTGTGTATATACGTACACGTATGTGTGTGTATATATACGTACACGTACGTATGCACCGTTAGCGTACACATTTTGAGGGCCCGCCGGCCGGCCGCCACCGAGAGGAACTCTGGGACCCGACCGTATCCGCGAGTTAAAAGCATTGGGAAGGCATGGCACTGAGTTCAAGGCAAATATATATATTATATATACAATCGATTTAAAAGTAAACAAATTGTTTTTGGGTTTAACATGTGGGCTTTCGCGACCAATATCATCCATAATAGAGGTTTTTGGGTTAGATCGGTAAGACTTCTCCACAAATCTGGCTGTCGCCTGATTAAGCTAGTAGTAATTACTGGCGAAACGTCGTACTCAGTTTGTCAATGCTGCGGCTTGGCTCTCCCAACACACCGGTGTGCTGTACGAGTATACTACACTATACACTACATTATACTACTATACACTACACTATACACTAACACACTAGTGCTGTACTAGTGACGAATTGGCCACGTTCTGTTCACGCGACAACCCTTACTGGTTGGCAGTGTCGGCCGGTGGCGGGTTTTAACGGCACATTCATACATCGATTATGAATTGTTTTTGTTTACCAGGTTAAAGCCCTGGCCAGCCCGACGAAGCGGCTGCACAATGTTGCGTGTTCACGGTGAGCGTCCTTTCGCGCCGCGAGTGGGCAACCGCGATGATGGGGGAGACGTGGAAATTCACAGCGGCCAAACAAATAGAAACGCACGTCGTTTGCAATCGCGGACGGAGGGAGAGGAAAAAAAAGACGGAGGAGGATGCGGGGAAAAAAAATCCACGCGACCGCAGACACACAGAGAGAGAGACACGCGCAAACTCCAAATATACAGCAGCAGGCATCGTCAGGGTCGTGATCAAACCCACGACCTCCTGTATACCAGGCGAGGGAGATAACATCTCCTAGCCACCGCGGCGCCCCTGTATAATACCCATTCACGATCATGCGCCGCCACGGTGGATCGCAGGAGGTGACGTTCCCGACCCGTCTGATTCTGAAGTGAATAGCCGGGTTTGTATAATTGCCACGAGGGCTGTCGCGACGCTCAATCCGCCCCCGGCCTTCAGGGAATGGCATCGGCCGTGCCGTCGCGCGGCGTTTTTCTCTTCCCGTTCTCGTTCCTTAAACCCGCGCGCGGCAAGCGAAAACAAAATCCATCCACGTCTGACCGATGTCCGACCCGGCGATCGCTTGTCGGTGCCGACGCGTAAACCCTCGTTTGAGTCACGCACACGCACGCACACACACACACGCACACACACGCACACACGCACGCGCACACACACACGCACACACACACGCAACGCTCGGCGTTTTTCCGCTCCCGCGTAGCCCCCCCGTTTCAACGGCGCCCCCGGCCCCCCTCTTTCCCCCCCCCCCCCATCTCCAAGTTACACGGAAGGCAGCGTTTTAAAATCGTAGCGAAAAATGGAACAGCGACAAAAAATTTGTTTTTTTTTTTAAAGAATGGCCAAGCTTGAAGCGAGGGCCTGGGCGAGCGTGTGGGGGGGGGGGGGGGGGGTGGGAGGCGGCGTGCTCTCCCGGTGCTGTCTGTTGGAGGCCTACAGAGTTGACAGTCGTGCGGCACAACACAATTGCTTCCCACGGCCTTTCAAGTCCGTTCGCAGGTTGTGGTTTTTTTGTTTATTTTTATTTATTTTTAGAAGGTTTTAGAAAGGCCTCCCCCCCCCCCTTTTTGGGGGGGGGGGGGGGTGGGGTGCGGTGTTCTCACGTTTCGTGTCTCCGCCGCTGTAACCGCTAATGAGTTTTGGGGTGAGGTGGGTGTAGGGGTGGCCGGTGAGTTTTATTGCTTTGGGTTTTTGTTTTGCCTCCGAGTGAAAATTAGCGCAGGCTCGCGACATCTGCTCGCGGACTCTTGTTGTCGGCAAAAAAATACTCGGCCGCGGGATTAACGGCGTTCCGTCTGTCCGTCCCGTCCCGTCTCCGGCCCTATCCGTCCGTCCGTCCCGTCCGGCCTATCTGTCCGTCAGTCCGTCCGTCTGGTCCGGCGCGACCGTGGTGGTAGCGTCCGCTGCATCCCCACCGCCGCTGCTGCTGCCGCCGCCAGCGTGAACTGAAGGCAGTCGGTCCGTGGAGGGTCGACGTCCTCGGTGCGGCGGTGGGGTGGAGGCGGTTGTTGGGTGGGTCGGGGGTGCGGGCTTGGGTTTTATTTTTTTTTGTGGCGCGTTCAAAATCCAAAGTGAAATGGGCGAGGGAGCGGGGAGGGGATTAAAAAAAAACGAACAAAAAAACCTCGCCCGGATTTCCTTGCGCGTCCTTAACATCGGTGGCCGGTCGCGGCGATGACGGCACGAATTAAAAACAAATCATCGTCGTCTTATTTTTACTCTACACATCCCGCGACCCCATGCTGTACCGAGTATATAACCAATATTTTTTTCTATGTAAAAAAATATACGCTTTTTTATTATTTTTCCAGCTAATAGCTCACTGAGATATTAGCTCTCTAGGTGTATGGTTGTCTATGGGTCTCTAGATGTGTCATGGGTCTCTGTGTGAGTCTATGGGTCTCTTAAATGTATGGGTTTCTAAGTCAGTCTATGGATCTCTTTGTGAGTCTATGGGTCTCTACGTGTATGGGTCTCAATGTGAGTCTATGGGTCTCTACGTGTATGAGTCTCTAGGTGTATGGGTCTCTGGATGTATTGGTCTCTGTGAGTCTATGGGTCTCTATGCGAGTCTATGGGTCTCTAGGTGTATGGGTCTCTGTGAGTCTATGGGTTTCTAGATGTATTGGTCTCTGTGAGTCTATGGGTCTCTATGCGAGTCTATGGGTCTCTAAGTGTATGGGTCTCTATGTGAATCTATGGGTCTCTAAGTGTATGGGTCTCTATGCGAGTCTATGGGTCTCTAAGTGTATGGGTCTCTATGCGAGTCTATGGATCTCTAGGTGTATGGGTCTCTATGTTAATCGATGGGTCTCTAGATGTATTGGTCTCTGTGAGTCTATGGGTCTCTATGTGAGTCTATGGGTCTCTAAGTGTATGGGTCTCTATGTGAATCTATGGGTCTCTAGATGAAGAGCTCTCTGTGAGTCTATGGGTCTCTATGTGAGTTTATGGGTCTCTAGGTTTATGGTTCTCTATATTAATTTATGGGTCTCTAGGTGTATGGGTCTCTATGTGAATCTATGGGTCTCTAAGTGTATGGGTCTCTATGTGAATATATGGGTCTCTAGATGAAGAGCTCTCTTTGAGTCTATGGTTCTCAATGTGAGTCTATGGGTCTCTGTGCGAGTCTATGGGTCTCTAGGTGTATGAGTCTCTGTGAACCTATGGGTCTCTATGTGAGTCTATGGGTCTCTATGTGTATGAGTCTATGTGAATTTATAGGTTTTCAGATGTATGTGTCTCTGTGAGTCTATGGGTCTCTAGGTGTATGAGTCTCTATGCAGTCAAAGAAAACTATAAACTATTTATTATTTTACCAGGTAAGACCCACTAGCTATGTAGCTCTTTTTTTCAGAAGCAACCTGGCCACAAATGACAGCTCCCGTGGAAATTTAGAGCAGTCAATTACTCTGAACGCGCGTTGATTCTTAATGTGGAGGGGAAAAGACGTCCAAAATATACAGCAGCTGTCCGGGTCGGGCTAAAACCCACGACCCTCCTGCATACCAGGCGAGGGAGATAACATCTGGCACACCCGAGGTCATGGATGGCTCCGCT